GCCAACAGAGGGGAAGTCACTGGACAGTGCTACGAAAAGGAGCCGCACCTGAGCCACGCCCCTCACCTGAGCAAGTGGGAGGGCAAAAACCAGCTGGCCTGTGGACTGTCCTGATGCGCGGCACTAGACAGCTCCCGGGGCACATGGGCTGGGGAGACATCAGCTGTTTTGCCTGCCCTGGTTGTTTAAGTGCTTTAAAATTCAGCTTTAACTCTCTAGTGACATGTTAGGATATTTTTGCCATTCTCTGGATCGTATACTGTATTTTACTGCATTTTACAAATTTTTGTATGCCCCCTGAGAGGAAGTTTTCTGTCCAGAGGTATAGCAATAAAATATGTAATACCCAGTCTTGTGTGTGTTTGTGTATGTGTGTGTTCCCTGCTTGCTGATGGTGTTGCAGTCCCTTATTGAGAGCGGCTTCCTGGAAGGCACATCCGGAAAACGGACGCTCCCGTCCCAGTGGGGCCTTTCCGCAGTCCTTGCCGTCCTGCTCCCGGGCCTCTCCCATGTCTCCAAACCATTTCCACAGCTTTCCTTGGGAAGAAGGCGCACCATCTGTTACAAGGCAAACGGGAATGCGATTGCGTGCATTGCGGCAATTCTGCCTTGCGGAAGCTGCACCCAGAGCTCTGGCTAGCAGAATTTGTAAAGTCAGAGAAACACACACCTCCTGGATGGAGGAGGAGGAGGTGGCAATAGGCCTCTGCTGCTGTTGGAAGAGAAGCGAGTCCTCCACACTCAAGTTGGGGGACTGAAAGCCTGCAGAGGAGATGGGTTTCCACCACACCCCCGACACTGAGAAAATGTGTGTGCGCCAGTGTCCCGAGGGCGAGGGCCGTGCTCCATGGCCAACCATCCTGGCCGGGAATCAGAGGCCTTTTCCCTGCCCAAGCATGCGCAGAATCGATGGGCCCCTCTGCACCGGAAAGCAGCATGTGGCGGCTTGCTTGGGAGCGGCATTCCGCTTCCGGCACCGCATCCCAGCTGCCCCGAGCCAGTGCGGGGGCTCGCTGCGCCCTCCCTGCACGGTCACCGCTCATCCTCGGTTGGCATCACACCCGTGAGAGGGCACCAGCTGAGTGGAGGAAGCCCCTCCGGGGAGGGCGAGACCGTCAACGGGGCCAGCTGGAAGCAGGGGGTCGCTCCGGGTCTGCCCCGGGTCCTTTTTCTTGCAGATGGCGGCCGCCTTGGGCAGCAGCCGAAGAGCAGATGCACCTGTTTGCACCCCTTTCTGCGTTTGTTATATTATAGTATTTATATCGAAGTTGTATTTTGCCATTGTAAACTTTCGATTATATTATTGCATTTATTTTGTCTTATAAGCCGCCCGAATAGCCCCATGGGCTATGGGTGCATATAAAGGTAATAAATCGAGTCAGCCAAATCTTTCCTCTGATTTTTAAAAATGGGCACAAGGAGCGTACAGCAGCCTCCTGCACGCCAGAGAACTCTTCTCCTCCGCGGGGTCACGCAGTGAGTGTCCTTAAGCTGTTCCCACTCACTGCCTTCCTAGCCGGAAAACCTCCTCTCTTCCCCGCCCTTTGCACGCACGTTGTGGAAGTTTTCATTCACAAGGAATCGCTTTTCTACGGGACGGTTTACAGAAGCCGAGCCGAGCTCAGGAAGGCCTGCCTGCCGCTTTCTTTCCTCCTCTTTTTTACAGCCTCCGTCCTCTTTGTGTTCCTTGCGTTTCCTGTTTTGAGTTTGGTGGGCAGTTTCCTGACCACGAGAAATATGTCTCTTAGGGTCAAGCATGGATCCATGCCCTTTTAAGGCTCAGGGGTGCGTTGCCATTCCTGTGATATCCTGCCTGCAAGGGCTAGGGCTGTGGTGATGGGGATGATGGGGACTGTAGTCCAGCCCACCAAGAAGGTGCCAGATTGAGAAACGCTGGCTCAGAGGTATTGTGAGTGCTTGAGGCAGCCTTTTTTGTATGCCTGCAGGCGGCTGCTCGGAAGGCACAGATTTCAAACCGGGCCAGCTTTTCTTTCTCATACAGCCTTGAGATACGTCAAGCCAGGCAGGTCCAAACCTAATTGTCCCACAAGATGGAAGCTAGAGGACTCCTTACTCCTTTCTTTACTTTTGCAGCTGATTCTCTGACTGAATTCAGTGCATAGAAATGTTCTAATAATAATAATAATAATTTGCCCTGGTGCTTCCACCTACCCTGCAAGACGGAACAAGACGAGAGCTTTCTTAATCAACAGCTGCTGTGCCACTCAGGCTAATTAACTTGAGTTGCCCAAACACATGCAGATTCAGACCTGCTAATTTTTCAGAAGGGCCGGACTTTTACCAGATCCTTGTAATTGAGTATTAAAGCTGAATGTAGTGGTTAAGAGAATGTAGTGGGACTGGGACTCAGAGGATCCGGGTTCGAGTCCCCGCTCAGCCATGGAGCCAACTGGGTGACTTTGGGCCAGTCACAGACTCTCAGCCCAACCTACCTCACAGGGTTGTTGTTGTGGGGATGAGATGGAGGAGGAGAATGATGTAAGCTGCCTTGAGCCCTTTGTAGGAAAAAGGCAGGATATAAATTGATAAATAAATAAATAAATAAATAAATAAGCTTCACGGGCTTGAGATCAATTCTGTGAACAACTGACAGAGATGTAGAGTAGAGTTATTGTTGTACAGAAGATGCACATGCCATAAAATTATTATATACTTTTGTTATTGTTAATGATTGTCCAAAAAATTGTCAAAGAAATTCTGTGAGCAAGTGACAGCTCTTTAGTTAGCCACAAGCCTTTATCAAAGGGTTCAAAGCAGGAGAAATGAGAACATTGTACAAAAGTGAAAATAATTCCAGGCCGCGGGACATGGCCTAGCCTCCATCATTGATATAAACCACAGCATCCCTGCATGTGCCAAGGCGCACAGGGCTCTTCACCAAAGGGCAGCAAACATCCTCAAGGCAAGCGGAGGGAAGGGACAGAAATGCGCAGCTCTGCTGCCGTCTCGGGCGAGAGGGCGCACGTGCGCCGTCGCTGCTGCGATTTCTCCCAGCCGTGTTGTCTCCGCTGCACAGGACGGCCGCAGCTCTGCAGGCGTCTCCTCGCCTTGGGCAGCAGGGAAGCTCACGGAGCGCCGAGTGCGTTTCTCTGCGTGGGACCCTTTCTCTCCCTTTGCCTTGAGGTACGGGAGCGATGCCACGTCCCTCGTCCCCGCAGCCCACTTGCCCGGCACTTTGGCGTTGCAGCTCCCAGTCCGCTGCTGCCCGTGCTGGCCGGAAAAGTGGCCAGCGTGGCTTTCTGGAGAGCCGGCCGGGCTCTGAGAGGCCTTTGTCCTTGGAGATCACCTGCATTGTGGGCCTACTGCAACGGAGCACCAGCTGCAACCCCGGTGGGGTGGGAGGACATCTTGGAGTGTGTACAAGGCCATGGCTGGGGACACGGGCAGTTGGCCGCTCCTCCCATCCTCTCCTGCTCTTTCCACAGAGCTGGGGGGCCCGGGCTTCTGCCCCAGAGCCCTGCCCCGATGGCACCACTCTCTGTCACTGCAGAACTGGCACTCTGCAATGCACTGTCTGGCTTCCAGTTGCATACATGGCAGAGGGGTGAAACTGCCTTCAGCCTCAGAGCCAGAGGCCCCTTTGGAGTCCGTCTGGGGGGCTGCATTCCAGTGGTGGGTGGGATTTGAAGGGTGCGCCAACAGCAGAAGGCGCAGGGCTACCCCTGCACTATTTTGGCTTGGAGTTCTTATAGCGGTCACTCTGGCTTGAGAGAGGCATTCCAACTTTTTCAGAGGAGGAGGAAAATGTGCAAAGAGCAGGGCCCAACATGTGATCAGGGGAAAGGGTTTTGACACCAACTGGGGAGCTGCAGGGGGCCAGTTGTGTGGGTCCCCAAAGGAGGACCTTTCAGGGCGGGCAAATTAGCATCTCTACGGTGTACGTGGGAAACGACATGCGGCACAGATTCCTGATCAGGTTGGGAATCCCACTGTTGGAATCAGGGAGGATGGGCCTTGGCACGCTCTGCCCAATTAAGCACAACAAGGGGGAGGGACTGAAAAACAATCTTTTTATCCTGGAGAAGTTCCATCACTCCAAAGTGGCAATTGACCCAGAAGGTAGGGAGCAGTCCCCTTTTATACCCTGGATGACCACGCTGCAATGACAGATACTCATCGGATTGACATTCCAGGCATGAGCACCGCTTAGCATGTCTGAACTCAGGTGACCTCTGCGCACCTGGAAGGCTGGGTCACCTTAGGACTGGGCTGAGGGCTTTTGGCAGGAGTTTGCTCAGTCCTTAGCCACAGGTGATGCCCTGTGGTTGCTGTGGATGCTCAGGACATGACCAGCCCACTCTTGCCTAATGCTGGCAAGCCAGATACGCCTCTTCAGTGCTGGACCAGTGACCTCAAGCAATGACATAGCTCCCCTGTGCATTGTCATGACTGGCTGCCAGTGTGAGGATGGTTGGGACTCACGCAGGGAAAGGAAGCTGGCAGTGTGGCTGTTCCAGGACTGGGGTGGGACTTGGCAGATTGGGCTTCTAGTTCCCATTTCACCCCTGAAGCTCACTGGGTGACTTCGTGGCAATGAGTCTCAGCCTAGCCTACCTCACAGGGTTGCTGTGAAAATAAAAGGAAGGATTTGTAAGCCGTCTTGGAAGCCTGGCCTTGCAAAGGGAAAAAAGGGTGCGATTTACATGTATTTTCATAATATTAGTACTGAGAGCTAAGCCTGTTCCAAGTCGGAGCCTCCCAGAGCCTCAGAGTTGCAAGGGGTTATGGGAGTCGCAGTCCCAAAGCGGCAGGCGGTCGCGCAACCTGCGGAGGCCGGTGGGCGTGGCGTCTCGCGCGCGCGGGCGTGGGCGGGGCTTGGGAGCGGCCGTCCTCTCGCCCTCCTCCCTGGAACGGCCCCCGCGCGGCCGCCGTAGCGCGGGAAGCCCGCGATTGCCATGGGGAAGGCCTCCCGAGTCTCCCCGCGCGGCTGCCGTAGCGCGCGCGCGCGGCGGGCGTGAAGGCGCGAGGGGCCTCGCGTCGCCCCGGGGGCGGCTGGCGGTCTCTCTCCGCGCTGAGGCGCGGGCGGAGCCGGCGCGCCCCGCCATGGAGGACGAGCTGTACCTGGAGAACATCGACGAGCTCGTCACGGACCAGAACAGAGTCGTGAGTGGGGCGGGGGGGGCCGAGGGGCGTCCTCGCGGGGAGGGGTCGTGTGCGGGGAGGGGGCAGCAGGAGGGGCCGAAGCGGGGCGGGGGGCAGAAGGGGCGGCGTGGCACGTGACCCCAGGCCGTCCAGAGCATCTGTCCTTAACGGGGGGGAAGGCCGTGAGGAAGGCCGAGGTGGCAGAGCCTCTGCCTGTGCACCTGCTCGCTTCCTTATCTCGCGCCCCTCAGTCAGAAGCATCTTCAGCATCTCTTTTTTCGAGTTGTAAAAATGCCTCCCTTCCCTGGTGCAGAAAAAGAAAACACCTAATGCACACGCAGCAGCCTTTCTCGGCCAGGTGTCCCGCAGATGTTTCGGGCTACAGCTCCCATCATCCCTGACGGTGACCCAGACTAGCTGGGGCTGAAAAGTGTTGAAACGCAAAATGTCTGGAAGGCTTTGACACTGGTGCGCGCAGAAGCCTGTTGTCTGCCGGCCGGGGGACGAGTCAGGAAGAAGCGGGCATCACAAGGTTGCCGGTCAGTTGTGGGATGCGAGAGCTGTGGAGGATGGGAGCTAGAAGAGGTGGAGGTGAACAACGTGTGCGCTGCACGTGGGGTGCGCTGACTGGAGGCTTCTTAGACTTGGACTACCTTTTCTTCCTGCCTCTAGAATTGCCGAAGTTCACCACGTGGATTAAACGGACAAATCAAGAATCTTTTAAGAAGGAATGACTCTTTCTTAGCACTTAGTGCCTAAATTATCTCTTAAATATTCCTTTGTATACACATGAAGAAATAGAGTATTTTTAAAAATTTTCAAGTTCTCTTCTCTTCCCCCATTTGTGTGGTTAGGGCTTCCTAGGCCTTTGGATCTCCATCTAGAGGTCCAGCATTCCTTGAAGAAATGGGAGTTTGGCATGGGGTCTGGCCAATCTTAGTCCATGTTCCATTGTTGGACCATTATTGGCGATGTTAGATCTTCTAATAGCTTAGATTTTGTCTCTAAGAAACTCTTCTTAAAATGGCCAATGGTCAGGAATTATGGGAGATGAAAGTTCAAAACATTTGGAGATTTATGCACACATGTGGTCGGCCTGATGCCTATGACTGTGTTAAAGGCACAGTGCAGGGGATGCTGATGAAGTGGATACATAGAGAGAGGAAACCAAGCTGGCAGTTTCTCAGAGAACTGTGGCGATGGGGTTATAGCTGTATTTGAACAGACCCTGTAGCAGAAGGGTAGTGATGCTATAATTGTCTTGGCTTTGTGTCGAGCTTTGCACTAGTGATGGTTTCCACTTTTGTGCAGGCACTATTCCGTGAGTTAAGACTCGGATGTTTTCTCTTTCAGGTAACATACAAATGGCTGAGTTATACCTTAGGTGTCCATGTCAACCAAGCTAAGCAGTAAGTATTAAGTATTGATGCAGCTTGCATTATGTAATCTCTAGCAGATGAAATTCAACCAAGTTTTATGTCATGCCACCAAAAAAAAAGGGTGAATCCACTCAACTCGAACTTTGTTCCTTTTCCTTGGACCTAATAATTGTCAGTGGGATTTTTAAAAAGTGATTAACAAGTAGGTGTAGTCTCCCTTTTATCCCACATTAATAAATAGAGTACTCTTCTTAATCTTTGGATTTCTTACTAGAAACAAACTGAACCAGGAAAGAGAAGGATATGCTTGTGTCTGAAATGGTATCTTTACATTAGGTCACAAAGAGAGACTGTAGATTTTTGTTGTTGTTGTTAGTTGCATCCGACCCATCGTGACCCCATGGATAACATTCCTCCAGGCCCCCCTGTCCTCCACCATCCCCGGAGTCCACCCAAGCCCACACCCACTGCCCCAGTGACCCCATCCAGCCACCTCATTCTCTGCTGTCCCCTTCTCCTTTTGCCTTCCAATTGTTCCCAGCATCAGGGTCTTCTCCAGTGAGTCCTTCCTTCTCAGACTGTAGATTAGCCTCTTAAAAATTCAGTCTTCATAGAAAAGAGACGACTTACAAGATTGGTGATTCCCAAATATATTTGCATGCAGTTTGTATTTTTCAAAAAGCAGATACTGAATACACAAGTATGGTTCTCTTTGTTACTATATGTAGTTTTCAAGTATCTAAGAGCTGGATGGTGGAGCCTGCAAAACCCATTAAGAAGCAGTGGGGTGAGGTAACCCTGGAACTTGGCACTTGCTTTAGGATCACTTTGCTGCTTTGGCAGCTGGCCAGGCATAGTGGGCTTCATGTCTGATAAGCAATGCTCCATTTAGCCTATGCAGGTTTACAGCACTAAATGTAAAGAAATGCTAACACTTTTAGAGTTAAATGTACATGCACAGTTCCTGCAACATGGTGGTGCATTGGGAATATTGGATGAACTGCCAGGGTGTATAAAATTGCATCGTATAAGAAAACCAAGTGGTTCATTTCAGGGTGCAGAATAATAGGCTGATATGCCTAATACCTGGCATGTCAAAATGATATTTTCACTTATCTAAGGTGTAATTTGCTACCAGCTTATAAAAATGGTGAATTTATGAAGTCTCTCTCAAAAAACAACGTGCAGGGTGTGGGGTAACATAGTACAAGAAGAAATTGTTGGCAGATGTGCCTGCTTTTTGTATCACATCACACAGGTGTATTCATATATGCATTATTTTTGTGAGATCAGGATTTGGTATACATTTTCATATCTGTCACAAATAGTTGAGGAGGTGTACCAGTTTGTGGATTGTATCACTGAGGCTGTTGCAGTACAGTGGTACCTCAGCTTACAAACACCTTGGTTCACGACCAAATTGGGTCGCGAACAAACATTTCATGAAAATTTTGATGTGGGTTGCGAATTCTGCATTGGGTGGCGACCAAGATCGCAGCCATCTTCCCACCCCTCACCCTGAGTGGGGAGATGGCCACGATCGCAGTTGTGTTCGTGCAGGGAAGACCCATCGTGTGTGATCAAGGGCGTGCTCCTGCAGGAAAGATGGGTGCAATCTTGGCCATCTCCCCCCCCAACCAGCACAATCACACCCGTCTCCACACCCCCAGCACGCCCCGTTTGCTTCCGTCTTTCCAGTGCGCCCGCGATTGCACCCGTCTCCCCCCCCCCACAGTGTGCAGGGATGACGGGCACGATCTCTCGTGCTGGGGGGGCGGGGAGATGGCCGTACTTGTGCTCGGGGTGGGGAGGGGGAGATGGCCACGATCTTTGTTGTTCTTTGTCACTTTGCTTCACGTTTTTCTGATTTAAAAAAATGGTTACAGAATGGATTAACCTTATTTACATTGAACCTTATGGGGAAATTTAACTTGGCTCACGACCAGAGTCCTGGAATGGATTAAGTTCGTGAGCCAAGGTGCCACTGTAATGGGAAAGACACTCATCCCTGAAAACAAAGCCTGAAAAAAGAAGGTGGATTTTAGGAAGAGAGCTGATCCAGCCCCCTTCTTTCTGAAATCTGGCTTGCTGTGTTGTGAAGGGAATGTGAAAAGGTATTCAGTCACCTGAGCTTCTGCTGTTACTAGTTCAGGGACAGGTTTGTTCCCTCATTTGCTGTTACAGGGGATGAGGCCCAAGGCAAAATTCAGTTTTGCACCTTCTCAGCTGTTTTTGTCTCGGTTTTCTACGAGGAATAGCTAAGTCTGAATCTCTTGCACTCCAAGCAGCTCATAAGTGGACTGCGAATGAAGACTTCAAGATCTGTGTGCTTCTTAATGTCTATTTTTGCTGTCTCTTCATGCAGGATGTTGTATGACTATGTGGAAAGAAAGCGGAAGGAGAATTCAGGAGCCCAGCTGCATGTCACCTATTTAGTCGCAGGAAACCTCATTCAGAATGGACACACCGTAAGTGTTCAGCTGCTTCTCCCATAAATATGGGGGTTACTATTTATAATGTGCAAACAAAGTCGTTGAGGTGGGAAAGCAAAGCAATGGCTACTCAGGTGAATAGAATGAAAGGCCCACTCACTCAACTCTACTGAGCATTGCTGCTGAACAGCTGTCACTTGAGAGCCGGCTTGGCAGCTGAGCATGGTTCGTAAGACCAAACAAGAGGTGAGTCCAGCAATGAAAAGTAAAGTTGTTGTTGTTGTTGTTAGTCCAGGCCTTTTCTCCAGGCCTTCCTGTCCCCCACCATCCCCCGGAGACCACCTGAGCCCATGCCGACTGCCCCAGTGACCCCATCCAGCCACCTCATCCTCTGCCGTCCCCTCCTCCTTCTGTCGTCAATTGTTCCCAGCATCAGGCTCTTCTCCAGGGAGTCCTTCCTTCTCATCAGGTGGCCAAAGTATTTGAGCTTCATCTTCAGCATCTGGCCTTCTGAAGAGCAGTCAGGGTTGATCTCCTCTAGGACTGACTGGTTTGATTGCCTTGTGGTCCAAGGGACTCGCAGGCGTCTCCTCCAGCACCACAATTCAAAGGCCTCAATCCTTCGGCGCTCAGCCTTCCTTATGGTCCAGTTGGCACAACCACGCATTGCAACTGGGAAAACCATCGCCTTGACTATACGCACTTTTGTTGGCAGGGTGATGTCTCTGCTTTTTAGTATGCTGTCTAGATTTGCCATAGCTTTCCTCCCCAGGAGCAAGCATCTTTTAATTTCTTGGCTGCAGTCCCCATCTGCGGTGATCTTGGAGCCCAGGAAAGCTCCCTCCATTTCTTCCCCATCTATTTGCCAGGAAGTGAGAGGACTGGATGCCATGATCTTAGTTTTCTTGATGTTGAGTTTCAAGCCAACTTTTGCGCTCTCCTCCTGCACCCGCATCAAGAGGCTCTTTGGTTCTTCTTCACTTTCTGCCATTAGAGTGGTGAAAAGTTAATTACAGATGCATAGATTAGGGTTGTCTCCATAACAGCAGAACACTGCAACTGAGTCCCAGAATGGCCATTGAAAGAGGAGTAGCAAAATCTGTTGCAGTAATGAGTTGTAACCGACAGAAGGTGGTGCTGTGCTGCAAAAAGCCCACTGCAAGTGTTATGCAGGAAAGGCTTTTGATCTCTGTCGAGACAGCGTCTCCCACTAGGAAGAGGTTTTTTATGTAACGGGAGGGGCACTGTTGTGCATGGAAGGAAGCCTAGTGTAGGAATGGATTTTGCCGCTCCTTATGCTTTGTTGAGCATGGAGTAAGTTGCTGGGAGGCTGGGAAAGGGTGCATTTAGACGATTTCTTGCAGCTCTTTGAACCTTTACTGTCAAGGAGTGTGCTAAAGACTGGCTGCGTATTGGTGTAAAATGAGGTGAGATGGGTAGCCTAGCATGCCATTCAGGAAGGTAAAGTCCTCCCTACACCACAAAAAGGATCGCAGCCTTGTTTGAGAATGATGGCTTGGAGGCCCCTAAGAGTGAAATAGAGTCTGTTCATTGAGCTTTCGCAAGACGAAAAAGTATTCTGGGCATCAGATTGTGCTTCTCTGACTCTCCTGTTTTCTTCCCAGACCCGTGTTGCGGGGGGAGTAGATTAGTGCAAGCAGAAACTTGGTAGAGCAGGGGCCCTTGAGGTGCTGGGTGCCATGACACCCCCAGGTACCTCCAGTGACACGTGTGAAGAGGTTCTGAACAATTATAACTTTAAAAGTATTTCCACATGGTTTTGAATTTACATACATGAATTTGTATGAAATCTATAAAACTTTCTAGGGATTACACATAGGCTTCACAGAAGTGGACCAATAGCCAAATAAGTGTCCATTTGAAGTAACTGTGTAATATCATTCTTTTAGTTGTCCAAAGGGCACAGAGAATCCATTTCCCCTTCCATTTCAAGGAACACTTAAATAATTTAAATGAGCATGTATATCAATCAATATTAATTATTGTTCTAATACAAAATTTACCTGTGTAATAACCTCCTTTGCCAAAGAAGCAGTTACGTTGCACTGCCAGAACACATGCTTATAAGCTGCATTTACTGTATTGCATTGCCAGCAATTAACTACATTAGGCAATCCCTAATTAAAGAGCCTTGTGGTGTCCAAAGACACAAAACAAAGATATTTCCAGAATAAGAGACAGGCCAGGGTCTGAACAGGTAGGGACCAACGTGTTGCCCCTCCACTGATTGGGTGGCAGCCCTCGCAGTTTTTCAATTCCCAAATTCGTCCATGTATCTGGAAAGGTTGGGGACCTCTGAGGTAGTGGATGCAATCCTGAACTGCAGAAATCCAGAAGACTGTCTGAAATGTGTTAAGGATCAAAGTACTGATGTGGCTGTTAAAGCAATGTAAACCTCATTTGCTGGGATAATAAGCTGTCGTTTCTTTGCAGTGCCACAAGGTTGCCGTGGTGAAAGAAGATAAACTAGAAGGTAGGTTTGATAAGAGAAGTACTTCAAAGGAAGCCTCTCTGTCCTAAAATGGCTTCTGCAGTACAAGTGGCACGCAGATTTCTGAGCTGGGGCCGTGTGGCTGCTGCCTTTGTCTTGTTTCCACCCATGCTCATTTCTGACGAGGCCCGCGTGCTTGTTGCCGGCTGGCTGTGCATCTCCTGAGCAGGGTCTCCACGGTGGCGCTGCCAAGCAGAGCCATGTCCCGAGGAGCCGAGGCCCTTGGCGCACGGCACACCCAAGCGCCAAGGCCAGGGCTGCGCAGTGGAGGGGCTGACTGGCCGCTCGGGATGCAGGCGGCGTGCTGGTTAGCAAAAGACGCTCGGGGCTGCCTCTGGGGAGGTTCACCCTGGAGGTGTCGGCTGCCGCCTGACGCTCTTGGGAGGATGGCAGCCAGAAGAATATGGAACCCTGGCCGGAATCCGGCCCTCTTGCGCTTGCTGGACTTCTCTCCTGCACTCGGCCTTGGCTAGGAAGCGAGCTGAGCTAAGATCAGGGCCGTGGAAACTTGGAAACACTTGTGGGCCCTTTCTTGGGCAAAGTATGCAAACCCCAGAAGTCGCGACTGTGGAAGCTTGGAGAGTGGGCATGCGGCTGAAGTGTGCGCGAGCTGGACGAGCTTGGACTTGCGTCCTGCTGGACGACCACGCAGATGCTTGGCATGAAGTTGGAGCAGAGAGAGCACGCTGGAGTCTGCGGAGCTGAGCCAAGGAAATCCCGTGGATCCCCACTGCCAGACCAGATCCTTCGCACATCGCTACAGCAGAGTGTGTCACGCCTGAAGGCTGACATCCCGCGTCCTCCTGCTAGCTTTAATCCTAATTTCTAAATACTCGGTCCCTGTTCACACCCCAGGAAACCCTTCCATTCTCTTCTTTTTCCAGTCAGTCAAGCTGGAAAATCCTTTCCATTGGGATTTGCCACGCTGCCTGTTCCCTCCCCCTGGTTCTTCCTGACCAGCACACTCTGTCTTTCTCTCGAGTGGCGCTCCAGTCGGATGGCGGTAGCACAGGGGCTCCCCGGTTATCGCCATGTTTGTACTCGGGCTTCCGCTGTGCAACCCAAGGGCCGAACAGGCATGAGGTAGCGTGGCCCGGGTGGGTTATTCGGATGCCCTCTCTGACAATAGCTCGTTTCAGGTCTGGCACATGCCAGTCCGGCACTACAAGCCTGGGAACACCCTTCCTTGCCCTGGGAATTGTGGCAAGCACAGGATCCATCTGGGAGCAGGATTTGTCTGGAGGCCCATGGAGTATTTCTGCAACACGGCATGGTTGCAGAGACCCTCCTCCCCAGCCCCAAACTCGGGAATTTAGCCATTCGAAAGCGGATCTCCCCGTCTCTGTGAGGGGGGGGGGTATGCACGGCTGCTACTAACTTTGCACTGGTCCTCAGAAGAATCCAAGTGCCTCTGAGGCCCAGCGCGACACCAGCGCCAAGAGCCCATCCCTGGCCCCCGTTCCCTGGCTCTCCCTGACGATGAAGGCTCATCAGAAGTGAGTTGCTATGAATGTTGTCTAGCATTTATGCAACCTCAGCCCATCACTTGCAAATGGGAGTTAATTTCAGGAGTGATGCAGAAGGGAAGACGCCGTCTGCAGGCCGCTTCTGCTGGCCTCTGCTGCGGGATGAGGCAGGCATGTCCCTGAATGTCCGCTTTGACCGAGCTCTGCTTTATGTGATCTGATAGAGGCTTGACAGGCGCTTTGGACTGCAAGCTTTCAGATGGTTATCAAAGGGCTAGTGTTTCTCCATCCCATTGGATTAGACGTGCAGGCTGGATATTTTGACTACAAATGCTTTTGTAGCCATAATGCAGCTCTGCGATATTTTGTGTGTTGACAGAGTAAGGCTGAACTGCCAAGGATGGTAAAGATTAAGGACAATAGTCTTGGGTTACAAGCCAAAACTGGAAAGGAAAAGTGTCGGTGTCCTCTTGCAGCAGTTTCCCTGATGTCATGGGGCTGTTAAGGGGGTGGGGGGTAAATAGCTTTCCCATCCCGACAGCTCCAGACAGGTAACAGTATAAAGATCTGTCCTTTCTTGGCCACAACGAGCCAGCATGAACACTTAATTCTTACTCCACCCCTGGGAAATAGCTGGCCTCCATTCATGGTGGGCTTCCAAATTGCAGAGGCTTGGGTCCAGGAGACCTACGGTGGCATCCAACTGAAAAATAGTCCCAGCCCAGTGTTTTGCTCTCTCTAAGGGCTGATTCATGCTGCTTGGTGGCCTCCCAGATATCCCTGTACCAAGAGGGCTGGGGTGTCTCCAGAGCAGTATGTGGTGGGGCATCAGAGGCTGTTTTAGGATAAAGCGAACCATGGATGCATCTCGCTCAATATTGTGGGCACTGACCGGCACCCGCAGCTCCCTATTCAAGTAGGAATTTTTCCACCCGTATCCATCTTTAATTGATGTTGTTTTATTCTGGAACTATTCGACTGGGTTATGTTTTCATAGGAAATGTGTATTTTATATTTCATATTTGAAATCTTTCCATAGTAGGTTTATTTCACAGTTAAACCAAACCTTAATCATGTCACGCATTTTCTTTGACTTACTCAGCTGTACGTACTTTGCCCAGTTCCGTGCTGTGACCACATGCATCGTTGCCCACATAGACAGCCTCCTTGTGGCAAGCAGTGCCGCAGCACAGGGGCGGCCCTTTGGTCGGCCACCGCATGCCTAGTCGCGCACGTGGCAGTTGCCAGCAAACCTGAAGGGTAGAACTGCCATCTGCAAGAGGCGACCCTGCTTCAGAGTCCCTCTGCCTGCCTTCCTTCCAGCCATGAAGTCGAAGCTGTCCACCCTTGCGAGTGTCCATGTGTACAGCATCCAGAAGGCCATGCTGAAGGACAGCAGCCCGCTCTACAACACGGACTACGATATCACCAAAGCGAACCTGCAGAACTGCAGCAAGTGAGTCCTGTACCCCTGCTGGATCTCAGCGCCGTCTCGCTGCCACGTCAGGGTGTGTTTGGGGTGCAAAGGGTCTCCGGCACACGCCGCAAACGAGGCTCTGGGGGGTCCTGACTGTGGCGGTGGGAGTTTGCTTCCCTTGTAAGAAAAGGCTGGGGAGGGTCTTCTCCCCACCCCCTCTGCAGCGTCCGTTTTCCATTCAGAACTGGAACACAGCAAATTGAAATGCCACCAAACTTCTGCTCAGCCTGTAGGAGCTGGATTTGTTCTGTTCCCCTTTATGTCAGTCTCCATTTAATGGAGCAGGGTTGTTAAACTGCAGTGCTGAGTTCGAGCCCCCGCTCAGCCATGGAGGCAACCGGGTGACTTTGGGCCAGTCACAGACTCTCAGCCCAGCCTGTCTCACAGGGCAGTTTGATTCATTTATTCATTTAATTATTTAATTCATGTAAAAGCTGCTCGTTCTCACCGTGCTCTCTGGGCAGCCATTCCAATAAAGGTGTCAATAATAACGATAAATAAAATGATGCAGTTAAAATATATAAAGCACAGTATATGTAATCAGACAAAAGCATAAATTAAGACAATAAATTAAAATTAGTGCCATTGGTATAGATGGTCTAAGTAGTGACATGGGAGCATTGAAAGAGGAAGTTTTCATCGGGCACCTAAAACCCCGTGAAGCAGGCACCTGGCAAATCTCCATGCTGGGGCTTTCCCAGTTGGGGTGCCACCCCAGAAAAGGCCCTTCTTGCAGCCCCTTAACTCCCTTAAGGAGGGCAACTGGAGAGCCAGTGTGGGGCATCCTTGTGGGGCATCCAAGGCGGCTTATTTAGCTCAGTTTTTTCCTCTCAACAACCCCGTAAGGGAGGATGAGCTAAGAGGCTGAGACTGGCTGAAAGTCGCCGAATGAGCTCCGGAGGAGAATGATGTAAGCTGCCTTGAGCCCGTTGTAGGAAAAAGAAAGGATATAAATCAAATAAATAAAATAAACTTTCAGGAGGGCCTCAGTTGATGATCTTTGGCGACAGGCAGGAATGTACGGAGTAAGGCACTCCTTAAGGTAATGTGGCCCCAAGCCGTTTAGGGCTTTGTGTGACATACTCACAACCTTGAATTCAGCCTGAACTGGAACAGGCAGCCAGTGCAGGTGATGGAGGACCAGTATGATATATTCATAAAGTGCCATGGTGCAGAGCGATGTTGTTGTGGAAAAGGATTCTGGACAGGTGGCAGTGTCAGCTGCTTTGATTCATAGGATCATAGAATAGTAGGCTTGGAAGGGGCCGTGAAGGCCATCAGGTCCAACCTCCTGCTCTTGCAGGATGCTAAGTTACACCTATAATAACCACTGTATCTTGCTGGGAAAAAAAATCCTTGAAAAAGAAAAAAGGCAGGAAATAACCCTAATAAATAAAGATAAGTAAATAAAGTGACACCCATCTTAGGATCAACTCTCTCTAACTTCTCACTTCCTGTCTATAGTGTAGTCTTGGGGTGAGAGGCTATTGGAACCAGTTCAAGAGCTTTTTCTCAGAAATTAGTTCTTATAAAAATGGAACAAACCTTTCTTGGACTGGTTCATTCTGGGGAGGCTTGGCACAAGATGTCGACCTCTGGTGGCTGCATGACTTGGCTTGCTGGTATCATAGTACCAAGCACACTGTTCCAACCCATGCAGAGGAAGGCTTTCTGGCTTAGACATGTCTCTCGCCTTTTCCCTTTGCAGCAGATAAAGGTGAATTGAAAAATATTATTACATAGCACTTACTGTGCGAGGAGTCCAAGGCAGCTTACATCGCTCTACTTTATCCTCACAAAGACTCCATAAGAAGGTTGGGCTGAGAGAGAGTGGGCAGCCAAAAGTCACCGAGCGAGTTTCAAGGCTGAGTGGGAAATAGAACCCAGCTCTCCCCATCCATCTCTTGAACACCACACCGGCTCGTGATGTGTTATTGAGCTAGCCTGGCTTTGCAATACGGAGAGTAGTAGTCAAATTCTTGACAAGGAGCATCTGTCAACGTAGCGATCTTTCTGGCGGGGTTGGTTCTTGCCCATGTTGGGTTGACTGCAGATGGGAGCCCCTGCTCCCTCCCTCCCTCCCACAAGGGACTGGTTCCACCCTCAGGGAGGTTCATGCGACTTGTGGACCGGATCCTGGGAACACAGGACATCACGGAATTGGTCCACTTGTTAGGCTCAACAATGAGGAGCTCAGTTGATGAACTCACACCCCTCCCCCTCCAGTTCCCCCATTCCACAGTGTCTCCCCCCAGACAGCGGGGTCTTGTTCTCACCAGCCGCCTGGCTATGCTTGCTCGTTCACCTCGGCATCTCAGGACTCTTCCTTTAGTCCACCTTCAGAGCCCGAGCTTTCCAGCACATGATGTGTACTTTGAGCAAAGCCGGCTCCGTCCCTCCAGTGGCAGCTCTAGGAGAAAATGGGATTCGCTTCACTGGCACGCTTCCTTATCCCAGGCTGTTGCAGAGGACCAAGCACTGGGAGTGCTGCTGGGAGAAACGGATGCAGGTGACGCGGCATGGATGCTCAGCTGAAGTGCTCGTTCTGCTTGCAGGTTTAGCGCAATCCACTGCGCTGCTGCGGTTGCAAGGACGGCGGCGGAAGCCCCTCCGCTTGAAGCCGCCGGGCAGCTGGACCCCCGGCCACCACGGGGCACAAGCGCAGCCGCTGCTCCTGAGCTCAACGGCCACGCCCCAAGCACCTCCTCAAAGCAGCCCTCCCAGCAGGCCAAGGGCATTATGGGGATGTTTGCGAAATCCGCCGCCAGGTCCCAGGACTCGCACAAGGAAGCCCAACTGGAGGCGAAGGAGACCCCAAGTGTAAGTTCCAGCACCGGTCATTGTGCTCAGAGCCCTTCGCCTGGGGCTGAGGCGGGCGCAGGGTGAGGCCAGAGAGAGCCTGCCGCTTCCTCTGTGAGACGAGGCACACGGGCTGCCGGAGCAGCCTGCAAAAAGAGAGAGATCAAGTGATGCTGTGGAGGCATCCGCCAGCACCGCCAGCCGGAGGGGAGGACTGTAGCACCTGGCCCCTCACCTGAAGTTCAGACCACTGGTGGTCTGGGAGGCAAGGCCCTCCAGCCTGGGCGTGGGAGGCCTCGCGTTTGCCAGCACGTGGCGCGTGTCCTTTGCTGGTTGGAGCAGGAGGACTTGGGCGAGAGCGCAGTGGAGGCCGCATCTGCCTGCCTGGCCCTGGTTTCGTGGCCTGCCTTGCTCCACTGCAGTTCTTGGCGGTTGCCCTGGGACAGCAGAGGCTTCCTGCTCAGGAGACTGTCTGGTGGCCCCCTTGCCGCGGACGAGGGGCCACTTGTACCGGTTGCAGGCTGTCGCTTCTTTCTGTGTGAGGCGGTGGTGCGGGCAGGAGAGGATAAATACTCTGGATCAGTCCTTACAAGGGGCGTTCTGTCCTAGCAGTCCCCAAATATTCAGAGGTTGCTTGTAGCTTCTGTGTTGGTCGAGAGTTCCTTGCGGGTGAGCAAAAGGTCCATTCTGTCAAGGACTCCTGTGGGAGTCTCCCCAAAAGAAATGGGTATCGGGAAAGTTGCACACGGGGGATCCGGCGGTCCTCCACGCTTGGCTTTCCGTGGGGTCTCTTTGCTAACGGTTTCCTTTAATAACTTGCAGGCCTCCGCCACAAGCAGCAAGGCACCCGCTAAGGGGATCGTTCTGAACAACTTCTTTGGGAAAGCTGCACTGAGTAAGGACTGAAGCTCTCTTTGCATGGTCAGAGCGGAGTGGCCTTTTTATTTAGATATCTGTGAACTCTCATTTTACCGCAGGCCCCTCAGGGCAGTGTGCAAGAGACCGCTTTAGGTAGAAGAGAAAAAGTTGGGAACGGAGCGGTAGCCGCTCCAGCTGAGTGAAAAGCCATGCAGTGCATGCAGGTCTCTCGTTCCCTCGCACTTTGGGTGGGACGTTACTCGCCCTTTATCTGCCTATAACGGGGGGCAGCCTCCAGTCCACGGAGTTTGGGCTTCCTGCATGGGCCCCTCCCAACCCCCCCCCAGGGTCTAAGCAGAGGTATCCCCTCATTATCTCTGCTCCCTGATCAGAGGCAACAAGGAGCTTCTTCCGCGTGCCGGCTGCGAGGGCAAGCAGTGCGAAGGGCGAGCAGAGCAATCCCCTGCGTTCCGCCCTCTCTCTTCCTTGAAAGTGCCCTGTGTGTCTTTGCACGGAGAGAAGAGAAAGTGGATGATGTGGGGGGGAGGGGCCCCTGGATGGCATTCATCCTGCTGGTGTGGACCCCGGGGGCAGTCTGGCCCCAGATGGGGTGGAGCTGCTTGCCCAGCCAAGGGAGCACTTGCCATGAAGGCAGGGAGCTCTTTTCCCCTTGTGCTCTGTGCCATTCATGGAGGATTCGGGCACCAGAGGGAGCCTCTTGGGGGCGGGGGGCACCTGCTGCTGGCGAAGAGAATTGCTGGGCCTTCGTCCCCGTCTGTCTGGGACAGCAAAGCACCCTGAGCAGACGTGAGGCTCAGCCTGGTGGAGCAGCCGCCTCCCGAGTCTGCCCCGAGAGAACGCGTGCCCACCTCAGAGCCCCGTGAAGGCCACGCTGACCCATGCAGCCGTTGTGACCCTTCCACTTTCCCTTGCGGCATGTGCAGGCAAAGTCAGTCCTGAACCCGAAGAGCAGAAGGAAGGGAAGGGAGTTGCCAAGCCCCCAGTGTCTTCCCTGGACTCCAAATCACCTCCCGGCGCCCTGGGACTCGCAAAACCCAGCAAGAAAGCCGAACCTGCAAAAGGGCAGCAGCAGGACAAAAAAAGGTGACACGTTCTTGATTGGTGGTCTAAGACTTTGGGGTGGGGATGGGCCAGCCTGGCTCGTTCGTTCATGTGGCTATTAGCCCTGAACCATGGCAAACAATGAGTGGGGGGGGGGTGCATCTCATTTGCCAAAACTGCACGCACAAAGGAGGAGATGAGCCGTAAAATGCAGCTCAGGTAGAACATCCTCTTCCACCAAATAATGAGGCAGCACGATAATTTCGGTAAAAGTTACCCCTGTCCTGGTTCTGAGTGTAATAATTTAACTTGGTACTTGTTCAGAAGCGTTGTATAAAACAACCCAAGCTCTGTGCCTGGAATGAATCCTGCAGGCTTCAGTACCTTTCCAGACACGGTGCCGCATTTCTGCGCATCCCAAGTTCTGGGGCAGGAGTCGTGGGGCAGGGAGAGGCAAAAAGCAAACTGCCTAGACACACACACTTACCTCATGCCAGAGCATGCGCTGCATTGTTTTCTGTCACGTGGTACCTATAGAAAGTTTTCCTCAAATGGCAAGACGAGCCGCTTCCTAGAATGTCGTGGCATTTTGGCTGGTGTTGCAAGAATACCCTAGAGCTGCCGTTCTGCATGTACTCCCAGTTCCGGGCTCACCTGACAGGCGGCAGCATTTGTCTGCCGCCTGGTGACAGGTGAGACAAGTAATGCTGGCGTGGGCAGTTTCCTGCTGTGCCTGTGCCCCCCTCGCTGGACACCCCGTTCCAGGTGATGCTCACTGGCTCCCTTGTTCTTCGCCTCAGGGGCATGGAGGAGGATGCCTCTTGGCAGGCGGGGCTGAGAGCGCTTCTGCCTCTGCGGCGGGCGAGCCGGCAGCTCCCCATCAATGCTGAAAGAAGCCATTTAATTTTTTTCCACTAGTAAAAGCACGGTCATCTTAAAATGGTTTAAAAGCTGCTCCAGAAATCTGAGACACTACCTCATAGGGAGGGTGACTCAGCTGAAAGAGTACGGAGTGCCTGTTAGAGAGACGTGAGTTTTTGCAGAACTGTATCTTGAGGACAAGCTTTTCCCCCCACTCTGAAGCAGGATGAGCTCTGGGTGCGGGGCTGGTTGCCTTCAGAACTCTGCAGTCACTTCCATAACATGGAATCTTGCACCTGAAATGCCTTCCAACTTTCATAGTCTGTTTTGTTTCAAGGATCAAAGCAGGTTATACCTCCTTTAGAAATTTGGATAAGCTGTTAAGATTTTTGAAATAAATGAAAATCAGAAGGGGTTGGCGGGTGGTCTCCTCACTTCCTCCGCCCGCTTCCCAGTTGCAAAGAAGGCTCAGAGTTTCCTCGGTGGACTCTCCTTTTGTGCCTTCTCCTCCAAACCCTCTGTGCTAAGATGCACGTGTCCACAGCCCGTGGGCCTTAATTTCAGGCCTGCAGTCTTTTCACCAGCACTTGTGAGCGCCCCGCTTTTGCCGACCGGCAGCAGGAAGCACGTCCTGCCAGTTCTTTCATGTGGCTGCAGAAACGCCACTCTCTAAGAGATCCCATTTCATTGCATTGTGGCATTAAAAAACCACCACCGTGGCTCTCGGGGCACCCATTTCGGTTGCTTCTATTTGGCAATTCCAAGTTTGTGTTCATGGGGGAGAATGAGAATTCAGTTCAAGCGACAGTCTTTACTCGAAGCAGGTAGATTCTGTATTTTTCTTGAGTTCAGATTACTAGTCAGGACACCCTTGGCTTTGGCAAAGCCGCCTCTTTTCTCTCACACTCTCAAAGCACATGCATAGTGACATTATTTTATTTTATTTTACTTTTTTGCAGAGCAAAGAAGATGGAGGTATCGGATGATGAAGAGGAGGAGGCTGAAAACCTGAAGAAGAAGAGGCGCCGTATCAAACAGCCTGAGTCTGACAGCAGCGATGATGAAGGTAAACGTTGGTGTGATCGGCAGCATTTTGCTTCCTTTGACGCCAGTGCTGGGTCGAGTTGGGGCTCTTTGGCGATAAATGATGGCTGCTGCACCGAGCGTCTGCCTCAGATGGGTGCAGAGTCCCACTGGAGTGCCGCCTTGCTTCGCTTCCTTATTTTCACTCTGTACATACGAGGTCAGCTTTTCCCTAGTGAAACGCGAAAATGTGTGGTGAAGAGCGTTTGCCTTTATTCAAAAAGTGTATCTGACCCTGGCATATTTGGGCTTGGTGTTTGACCCCCACCCCACCCCACACGGGTTGCCGCTGCTTCTATCATTTCTGTCCCATCCCACAGCCAAAGTTCTCTGGGTGGTTTGCGTCAATCCACAAAACGGACAAGAACATGCAATAATGATGTCAAGACCTGCAGGCAGCCCTGTGTACACGTCGTGCTTCTGCAGCCGCCCTGCCCACTTGCCCGAGAGCAAGTCACTTGTTTGCCGTTTGCGTTTCAATATTATCTATTTTATTTCCACACCACTGCATGGCCAAAGCTCTCTGGCCTGCTCACAGCAATTAGTGTTGCGTCAAAGAGAACAAGGCACAACTTCTGTAAATGCTCGTAATTCACTTGTGCCAAAGATGCGCTACGATGAGACTAAGGGAGAGGCAGCAGAAGATGGAAGGCGGTGATGTTCAAAGCAAAAAGGCAGGACGGATTTTTAAAAATAATTTTTATTTTCTCTACAATCTAACATTAAAAACATCAGTTATTTAAGACATTGCACATACTGTGTTGACATCTTACTCTTTTTAACAGTCAGTAGCCATATTCAGTTCTACGCATAGTCCCGTTTCTCTAACCAATAATAAAAAGAGCTCCAAGTTTGATAGAAATATGTATTCTCCTCCTCCTTCAGAGATGAGGTTTCCGCACAGCCCAAAATCTTTTTTAAGATCAACTCTTCAATAGGTGGCTCTTCATTCCTCCAGCGTTGGGAAAATGCAATCCTCGCTGCAGTAATTACATGTAAAATCAGATATATCACTTGTTTATCAAAGTCATCAGGGATAATGCCTAATAAGAAAACTTCAGGTTTAAATGTTAAAGGTTTCTGTAGCATTTCCTCAAGCCATTTATGTATTTTAACAAGGTGAATTTTTAAAAGGCAAATGAGGAAGAAGCTCCTTGTCTATCATATCCTCCCCACTCGCCAAAAAGCACTGGAAACTTCTGCAGGTATCAGCAGCTTTCTTACAAATATACCTCTGTGTTCTAGCTGGCCAGAACCTTTATACATAATTCAAAGAAGAAGAGCAGGTTTTCTTCAAGCTTCAAGTTCTGTTCTGCTGATTCTTTGCAGTTTTCTCTGTATGTGTGCTCTGGAAGCTACAGTAGTCTTGCCTTGACAGCTCAAAGCGCTCAGCTTCCTTTTGGAGTTCAGAGCAAGAGCGTGCTCTGAGTCTCCTGGAGGCTTTTGGGACATCCCATGGAAATAGCAGCGTCCAGCCAGGAGAGGTCAGCAGCCAAGCAGTGGCTCCTGTGCTGGTGTGGGGCTCCGTTTCTGCCACTGTAATAACATCCCCATGCTCAGATCCCAGAATATTCGGGTTGCCTCAGTGCTGCTGTTCAGAGGAAATTACCAAGATATAAGTGGGAAATGGAGGGAGGGAGAAGCAAGCCCCCTGCAAGCCAGTCGAGAGATGACTGTAGCGAGTGCTGTTACAGTAGAATTAATGCCGCCGGTTCAGCACAGGGGGAAACAGAGCCAGATGCTATGGTGGCCCATCTCGGGAAAGCTGGGAATGCGACAGGCAAGCCAATGCTCAGCTTTGAGGGCCGCATCGTGTATATCAAGGAGAGAGGCTTTAGGGGGACCTTCCGGCTGCAGATGCATCCTTTGTGGCCATCATGTTGTTCTTTATAGCAAACCAGCCAGGGCCAAGCCAGGGCCTCTTTCTTTCCCTGGTAAGACACCTGCTCAGTAGCTGGACAAGGCACTGGGAAATAACAGAGGGTTTTGCTGTAATATTAATTGCTGTAAACCACCCAGGGAGCTTTGGCTGTGGGCAGTAAAGAGAGGAGGGGGAGAATAGAGGTGTGAACCTGAGTTGTTCACTTGAGGTACAACCCTAGGCATGTTTAGTCAGAAAAACGTGCTACAGTTCCCAGCATCCCCATGCAGTTATTGCTGGTGGAGAATCCTGGGGGCTGGAGGGCTTTTTTCTCTCTCCACACAGGCATAGCACTGTACCCTTTGTGCTTCTCCTCAGCTCAGATTGCGCAACCCTGTTGTGAACTCTGCTTTCGTTCTCTGGCCCCTCTCCTAAGCCCTTCAGACTCGCCAATAAATTATCAAGGCTGCATCTCATCTCACAATCAAGTAACAAATGAGAAATTTGGTCTAAGCCTTAACGCAATCTGTAAACGTTGATACTTGCAGCTAGGAGGCTAGTGTGCTTCCAGCTGCTGCTCGGTGCATTCTTGTATGATGTCCCAGATCCATTTTGTGTTGTTGGGAGCCAAACAATGTTTAACTTGAGCCCTGCTTAACCTGCAAAAGGTCACTTGGCCCCCATGCCTTGCCAAGGCTCCCTTCCCAATACTGACCTAATAGGCCGGACTGGGTTCGCATCCAAAACGTAGGTTGTGGCAACGGAGCGAGCAAAAGCTGCCGCCAACTGAAAATGGATGGAGAGGGAATCTTGGCAGGTGCTCCGCCCGACATTTCCATTGTTGATAGCAAGCAAACGGGCCAGCGGGGCGAAGTCATGCTGCGCCGCTCGCTCTGGGCTGCGTCACGTGGGCCGCAGCCCTTCAGCCTGTCGAGGTGCTGGCAGCTGAGGGATGCAGGCCCCGCTGCCCACGCAGTTTCCGGCCTCTCCGCCGACTCAGAGGAGTGTTGAAAGAGGATCTGATTTCTGATCGTTCTTGGCTTCGCCGCTGCGCTCGGCAGGGCCCCAGCAGATTGCAACTTGCAGGGAGCTGTCAGGAGGACTCGGTTACACGCGCCCTCCGCTTTACAGCTGGAAGAGAGTGAGGGATGCACACATGGGTCGGGGGGGGCGGGGGGTCAGAGCAGGGGGTGTGCAGGCTTCTCTGAAAACGCAGCCGTGCCAGTCTCCTGGGGGTGGGAGAGGTAACGTCACCTGTACTGACCGGGCTTCTTGAACTGCCTGATTTGTGTGCATTTTTCGAGCTTCATTATTCCTGAAACAGCCCTGCTGTTGCTGCCCATTTCTTGCCTGAAGCTGTTTTTAGGCTTACGCTTGAGAAGAAACATACTGTTCCTCCTCTATTCTGCGTGCCAGGAAAACAGGAAAGGGAGGTGCGAAGGATGACGAAGAAGTTGCAGACACTTTGAAGAGCAGTGGTGCAGCCCCTAGGATGTAACGCCAGCGTCTTCATGAAGTGGGGCAGCAGCATGTTGTCAGGAGTCCTAGAGCTCTGTTCTCTTCAGACCCAAAAGTGGGATGTGCCTCTGCAGACTTTGCAGTCGGGGCCTCCAGAAGTGCCTCCCGCAGCTGCAGCTGGAGGCTTCCTGCTGGCTCTGCAGCTGAGCGCAAAGCCAGAGCACTGCGATGCGCTCTACCTGGAGCTGCCCTTGCACCTGGTTGGGAAGCCACATCGGGCGCAGAATGCAGGAGCCAGGATGCTCAGCGGCCCCCCAGCCGCATACACTCCGGCTGCCTGGTAGCTCGCGAGCCACGTTTTATTTCCCTACGCAGCTCAGTCCAGGTTGCCTAGCCAAGCACTTTCCCTTTTGCACACCAAGTCAGCCTCTCGATTATGGCCCAGTCCTCTGGACTGCAGTCCGGCCTGTTGGTCAAGAGGCAGAACTGCTAAGCTTCAAGTGCCTCTGGAACGTGCCCTTGTTGACCGAGGCTTTCTCCAATGTGTGGTCAGCCACGGCACTGCTCCGTCTTAATTTCCATATCGCTTCTGTGTCGTCTTCATTTTGTTCCATATCATTCATCTTCAAGATCCAAGGATATCCGCTATGGAAACTGCTTAAATAAGTCCTGGATACAACACAGCAGGACATTAAATCCAGTGGGCTTGGTCCTTCATTTGGACTGCGCTGCTTGCGTGGCCCCTTTCACGAGAGGCTCGGCGACTGGAAAACCTCCGTGTGGTTTGCGGGTGTCCCTGGTTTTGGGTCCTCGCAGCGTGGGAAGCCTGTGCTTGGATGCAGCGATGCAGGTTAGAGGAGCTCTGGGTGGAGTTCCTCTTTACTGAGCAGGAGCACTGCTTGGGCTCTGTTCTCCAGGCACAGGCCCCAATCCTCCTCCTCCTCCAGGTCTGTTCTTCTTGGTGGGGCCACCCACACTTCCTTGCTGCACATGAGCAAAGAACCAGATTTCCAGGTTCTGTTGTTCTGTTTTTGGTGTTTTGGACTACCTGCCCGAGACAATTCTGTAATTCACCCATGTTTGCATAGTTTATTCCAGATTGCTGGAAAAACCGTTGAATGCGTTCAAGTCACTTAAGAAATGTAGACCGGCTTCACATCTTGCTCGGCTGCTGATGGAGTCCTGCCCCATAAATGCATTTTCAAGAAACCTTGTTGATCCCAGTATGCAAATGCTGGTGTACGGTTTAGTGGCACACATAATAGGTCTTAAAGCTGTGGAAGGAACCACAAAGATCTGGGAGGTTTGAGTTCCTCTTAGCAGACTTCCTCATTGCCCAAAGAATTAATTCTTGGGCAAGTTAATTCCGGGAGCAAGTTAATTCTGACCCTCTCTGCTTGGAGGGTGCTGGGCCCTTCATTCCCCAGGCCAGCGATCAGGAGCTCTGAGGTGGCAGCACCAGCAGCTCCTTCTGATAATCAGACCTCAAGTATGCGTTTCATTGGCTACTTTTAGACGCAGAAAAGTGAGCCATCTCATTAAAATCAGATAAACACGAGCAGCAAATCTGGAACGGCAAAGCCCTTCTGTGAAGCCGCATGGGGAAGTAGCTCTAGCCTTACAGCTTGGCTTCTTTGTCTCCCTGCAGATGTCCCACCATCTCCTGGAGTTCCTGAAGGGAAAGACTCTTCTCCTGAACCAGCCCCAAAACCACAGTCAGACCCGGGTCCCGTGGAGGTAAAGGCTTTTGTGGTGGATGGCAAACTGTGAGCGAAAACCTTGCTCCTGAGACGGTGCAGTTGGGAATTTCTGTCTTGGACATGTGCTGCTGTCACGCAGGGTCGCATAGGCTGCTGGGTGGAAGATGGGGGGGGAGGTGTTCCCAGATTTGGAGCTTGGGCTTTGGAATGAAAAAAGCTAAAGCTGTGGAAAACTTTGGGGTCCGATGCAAGGAAGGTCTCAAGGATGAGGGAGCTCTGCTCAGCCCTCTGAGCATGCCAGAAGACTTCCTCTGTTTCATCTAGTTTCTGACAGGCACTGGAAGACAAGGTTCTGGAGGACGGGTGTGGTGGCGCGGAGCCTTAAGAAAACTTGGTGAGAAGTAGGGCTTTGGTGGCTCTTGCTTGGAGGTTGGTCCTGAGGCTTAAAGTTGGTGCAGATGAGCAGCTAGTCCAGAGCACAAAGCTGAGGTCGATGGTGTCCCTTCGATCTGGCCTGCACCACACCCCGGGACCACTTGCCAGCTCTGATGCTGGTTTTTCCCAAGTGTGCCAGCAACTGGCGGGGCTGGCAAGTGCCCGTCAGCAACAGTTAAGCCTTGGTTTGTCTCCAGTTGGTGGTAGTTTCCGGTTGCACCATGGTAGTACAACATTTATATGACTTTTTCAACATGGTATATTGCCTGAGGAAGTAATTTGAGTCTGAGTTTATTTTACTTCCAACTGTTGATTATTTTACAGTTTCTGACAAGCTCCCTGCCGTCAGGTTTTTTGTTTCTCTCTCCCCATACTACCTCTGCATAAGGTTGAATATTAACAATTATATTACTGTCTTCTGACACAACCATGAACAGTGAGGAAACTTTAGAATTTGACAACTAAGGTAGTGGGTTTAATTTTATGTCTAAATGTTCTATTACAAAAACGAAGAATAAAGGACCAGTTTTCAAGAAAAATCCTGTTGCCCTCCTTCATAGCTTTGTCTACTTCTCAGATCAATTTTTTTTACTGAGGTAGTTCAATGAACTCTGCTCATGGAGTTTGAAAAATTTACCCTGGGATTACTTCATTTTTAATCAGAATTTATGATGAAAACAGATACTGGGCCTATAATCTCCTTTATTTAATGTCTTCAGAATGGTGAACTGAAGTCTATAAAAATAAAACCCCAGAATTTTATTTCAGAGATAAAGCAAGGTCTCTGTTCACAGTGGGGCAGGTGGGAGAAATCTGCAGTCCTGCTCAAGGTGCCTTCAAAGGTCCAGCAAGACTTGCTGGGAAGACCATCTTGCTAGGGGGAGGTGCAGGCAGAAGAAGAAAAGGCAAAACAAATTTGAATGGATGGACTCCGTCAAGGAAGCTACAGCCTTGAATTTTCAAGGGCTGCGCAAGGCTGTTGTGCATCGGCTTTCATTCATAAGGTCACCATGAGTCAGACAACTTGACAGCCCACAGCAGCAGCAGCAAGTCCAGCGTGGTGGCGGCTCATTCTAAGTAATCCCACCTCAGTTCAACTTGTAAAACAAGCAGAGTGTTTGTTTAACAAAGGCTCTTCAGCGGCTGCAAGACAACCTTTAGCTTTTAATAAGAAATGCAAACAACCTTACAAAGAAGTTTTTCCATTTGGACTAGTAATCTGAAGTAGAAATGCAGAGTTTTCAGCTGTTTCTTATTTCATTTCCTCAGACTTTCCATTCTTTCTATTGCTGTTATTTTTATGATATTTAGTTCCTTGCCATTTCAGCAGTAGCATGAAGCATTAGAACTGGAGGGGATCATCAGCGATCTAATAAGCTTTCAGCAGATATTGATCAGCAGCTTGATTGACTCAATAGCTACATTTACAAGGTGTTTGCCTTCACTTATTCAAACCTGAAGTCCCCTGCCAAAAACCAAAGGATTAGATATTGCAATAAGGAGAAGTAGATTAAGTTTCTTGTTCATTAGGAAAATAGCTTAGTTATTAAAAATCAAAACAGCAAATGAATGAAAACTGTATCACACTGTAAGCTCCCTTGTTCTTCCCATTCCATAAAGTCTGCTTGTCTTTGAAATCTTGTCTTTATGAAACCATAAAGCCCATCCAAAGTCGCATATATCATGTGAATCAATAGGTTCTTTGCTTCCATCCTCCTAGTCCCCTTTTCAAGCCTTTCTTAATTCCCTCCAAAAGGTCTTTTTCAATTCTCATAAGAAAACATCATTTCTGTGTTCTGAGAGTAGTTACATCCTATTATCTCGCTTGGTTTGGATTCCCACTTCCTTAAGTACCTTCCCTTTGCAAACAGGCTTAAGAAAGGATGAAACAAGATAGGGGAGAAGGCTCCATGGATCTTTATGGCATCCACTTTGCTTGAACTTAGGCAGACTTCCTTGGGGTCATGGGAACTAGGAGGGCGTGGTGATGATCACATACGAGAGACTGGAAGGTCAGGCACTGACATCCTTCCCCCTGTCTGGCTTATGTACTTGCTCTGAGAGCCAGGATCACTGCAGGTAGGAGCTCCGTCCCCCAGGCCTTTTGAATTCGGGCTAGTAGGACCAACAGTAGTAAAACCGGGCAGCCTTGGTCCTTCTCATTCACTCACTGGCGCAGGGCAAACCCGTCACAGTAGTTCACCCTGTCAAAGGGATTAGGAGCCTGCAGTACACACGTCCCTCACTGTCTTCCACAGAGGGCCCTTGTAGCTGAGGAAGAAAGTGGCACAGAAGGAGATGATAGCTGGGATGGGCCAGTTGTTTGGGGTTTGTTTGTTTGTTTGTTTGTTTTTGAGAGAGAGAGAGAAGGAGAACATGAGCTGCCAGCTGGCACAGGTCTGTGGAATGTAGCATCTGTACTTCTAGATTATTTCTGAACCAACTTCCAACATATCTGGAAAGATGTGTGTTGTTACAGACCCATGAATGCTTCTGTCAGGCAGATCTGGCTGAATGCCGTGCCGTCTCCTCATTCTCATTTGCTGAAATGTTGCTTTCCAGGTTTCGTCAGGAGAGAAGAAGAGGAAGAGGAGGCGAGTGATGAAGTCTAAAATGTCTCTTGATGACGAAGGATATATGGGTAAGCAGCAGTCTGTCACTCGATTGAGGAAATCTTGAAGCGTCACCTGATGCTCGTCTCAACAGGGAAAAGGCCTATATCTCCCAGCATGCCTCACCATCATAGTCTGGAGTCATAGGTCGTTTTCCTGTTTGAACAGTTATAGTGTGGTGCTCTTAGTCCGTGAATCATGCGAGCTTTGGAAATGGACAAGATCTACACCAATTTGTATATAAGGAAAAACAGTTCTGCAGAAGACGTACACTTTGTCTTTAGATGGTTAGCATGTCATGGGCAGGGACTCTCTGAGAAGGAGGCATCTTTCTTGTGTGAGAGGAAAACAGGAGTGCCTCTTCTTCTCTGGTGGCCCACACGAAAAAGTAGTTGTATCCAAAGTGAGAAAACTGAGGCTGCCCTGCTTCGGACGCATCGTAAGAAGGTAAGACTCCCTGGAGAAGACCGTCATGCTGGGGCGAGGTGAAGGCGGAAGGCGGAAGGGAAGACCAAATCCAGACAGACTGAATCCACAAGGGGAGGCACAGCCTTCGAGCGGGGAAAGCTGCGCAGGGCCGTCAAAGGCAAGGTGTTTTGGAGGGCTGTCGTTCATAGGGTTGCCATAAGTTGGAGACGACTTGGTGGCACAGAACCGCAGGTGTTAAAATAGCTTCGGTTAAAAAAGAATCTGCCACCAGACCTACTGGGGCACGTCCGTGCAGGAATGTTGGCTTGATCTAACTGATTAATCAAACTGACTTTCATAGGAGTCTTTCATGGGAAAGTTTGTTCTAAATCTGGGGGGGGGGGGTCATTGTTCTCCATTAACTTAAGGACTTCCGAAGTGTGGAGAAGGGTCTGTGGTATACCAGGATCAGGCCTGGCAATGGGACTGGGGGCAGGGCTGCAACCAGCCTTCAGCCTTCTCAGCCGGCTCATTCACCGTGGCCAAGCTGCTGCCTGCCTGCCTCCCTCAAGAGGAGTAAGCCGCTCTCTTCCTGCTGCTTGAAGCTGCTGAAGGGGCGGGTGGGGACTCTGATGCAGCAGTCCCCACTGCCCCCCCAGCACGAAGGCTGCAGGGCTCCTCGCTTTCCCTCGCAAGGGGCCAGCAGGTGGCGAGTGCAGGCGCAGAGGCAGCCGGCGGTGACTTGGCCGCTGCCAGTGGGGACGCCTTCCCCCACCAGCAGCCCAGCCAGCCTGTTCCCCCTGTGCCCTTTCCTGCTGCGGGGAGGAATCTGACCATGGCGGCTTTTGGCTTGCCCAGACGGCCTGCCAGAAGCTGCAGTGCGAGGCAGCATAAAGCAGATCTCACCTCTGCCTTGAACGCGGCCCTTGGGCGTGTTGCTTGGCCCTTCTGACTAGCCCTGTCTCCCATGGAAGCCTTTTTGGGGTGATGCCATAACTATCTCCCGGGTTGTCAAATGTGTCCGTTGGCACACGACAGTTGCCAGCTCCTGGAATAGACGAGTGCTTGCATGAGAAGACTTTGAGCTAATCCTTGGCATCCCTGTGAAAGCGTCCTGATCCTTTAGCACAGACTTTTTCCTCTTGAGGAAACACACTGGGAGAACCACATCCATATAGAATCGATAGTCTTTGGATTGAGCAGGGGCCCTCCTTGTTCGGGGTCCATAGGAACGTGAGAAGCCTCTGTGGGCCCCGCCATTAAATGGAGGATGTGGCGTGTCGCGTAATGGCTGCCGTGGGGTTCTGAGTATTGAAGGTGAGCCAAAGAGATCTGTCTGAGTTGGGCAGTGGGGAGATACACGCCAGAGGTTCAGTGGAAGAGGGAACTAGCAAGATTCAGGGATGAGAAAGAGCAGGATGGAGAGCTAAGGAGGTGGCGAGAGGGAGCTCAAACTGGGCAGTGGGGGGGGTGGGCATGAGGCAGAGAAAGATCCAGGTTAGAAGCTCAGAGGGGGAGAATCAGTGTGTTGGGGAGAGAAGGAAGAGGCAAGGGGAGAAATGGCGAGGCTGGAGGCTGGGCTGGGAGGGAAACGGCAAGGCAAAGGTGTCAAGGAGAGGGAAGGGCAAAGCTGGAGGCTGGAAAGGGGGGAAATGAGGGTAGGGACAGGGAGGGAATGCTGTGGAAGGGGGATGAAGAGAAAGGGGGCAGGGAGGCTTTGTGCTCATTTTGGAGGTCTGAACATTTGGGAGCTCTCGGTAGTCCCTGTGTAACTGGACGTGTGCTAAACCAGTAACGCCTAACGTTTGAACAGCTCTTCATGTTTGTTCTCTGAAAGTCAGAGTTACTTCCAAAGGAGCCAAGCTCAGGGAACCAATATTTAGGGTGGATGCCAGGAAGTGCTTCCTGACAGTGAGGACCCCCAGGGTGTGGAATGGGCTTCCACGAGAGGTGCTTGAAGCCCCAGTCGAGAGGGTGTTCAAGGGTCGGCTGGACATGCACATGGTGGGCATGTCGTGAGCGGAGCTGGCTGGAGCCGAGGGCCAGACTAGATGGCCCGCAAGGCCCCTTCTGACTTGCTCTGTTTAATATTCTGTGGGGCGAAGGGAGAGGCCAAGGGGGAGTGGCTGCCCAAGGCCCCTGGTGAGTCCATGGGGGAGACCAGATCAAAGCAGGGCACCCTGATTGGAGGCCAGTCTCTGTCCATCGGCAGAAGTGCTTGGCTCTGCTTGGCAACGGGAAAATCCCCGTCAGGAAGACACCCCTGTGCTGGAGGAGAAGAGGGGCTTTCTCCTGGGTCCTTGAGAGGAGGCTGTGCCTGCCAGGGCCTGTTGGCAGAGGGAAGGACAAGTCTCCCTGGGCCCCCATGCACTCGGGGACCAGAGGTATTAATGGTGCTATGGGCCTGGTGTGGCATTCACTGCAGGCATGGTGATGGGCACCCTGTTGCATGAAATCTGCAGTTTGGTGGAGAGCAGGGAGAGCCTGGCTGTGCTCCCTAGTGGAGTTGACCCCATTACTCATGCAAGCCTCCAGCCCTGGCTTTTTTCAAGTTAAAAATGGATTTGCGAAAGATGGGGCGTCTCGAGTTGGGCCAAGTGCCTTGCTGGGAAGAGACGTGGAGTGACCTCCGAAGTGAGCTCAGGCTTCCCCCAAAGGACCGAGCGGCATCCACCCCTCCTCCAGCCAGCCCGCTGCTCTTTCCCGAGGCCTGGATTGCCATTGCATCCCATAACAAAGACGAATAATTTTCATTTCCAGCAAAGGGGATCTTTTGTTTGGTTTTGGTTTTATTTTCCAGTTCAGTCTTCTCTAAACATGTCAAGAGTGAGATTGCCTTCCCTGCTTAGAGCCAGGATTAAGTAGTCTCCTGTGGAACGTTGACCTTCTGGATTCGCAATCCAGATCCGGTACAGAGCAGTAGGGACTTGCGCACTCCCTCGTGGAGGTCTTGGCAGATGGTTTGATGTAGCACGGAAATAGCATGATGGAGTGGTGGCGGGAAACATTCGGGTAAGAAAGGAGTCTAATTCCCGTTTCTCAGTCAGAGGACCAAACGTTGCTTCTGGGAATTTGAAAAGACAATGTACAGGTGTCTACATTTGTCTAGGGCCGAGTCTTGGATTAAACAGATAGCAGCTCTGTAGAGCTGTGGAGTCTTAGAGATACTATTGGGTGGCTCTTGGCCTGTCCTGTGGTGGCCAGAAGTGCAGACCACACATCCGCCCACCCCATTTTAAAATTAGATTCCTGTTAGGAGCCAGGCTAGCTCCTCAGAGCTGTGCAGCCTGGCCCAATGGTTCAGGTCATTTCTGTCCTCCAAGGATGCAGCTCTGAACAAGAATTGAAAAGGGAAAAGGGGAGTCAGTTCAGACAGCGCTTGTGGTTTCCTGGACACTCGCTGTGGTTGCTGGCGGAATAGAGGTTGATTTGACATCCCCTTTAAGCCCCTGCCAGCGGCCTCAGAGGCTGAAAGCGAGGACCGAGGCCTCACCCTGGTTGTCGTTGTTTCTCCCATTCTTTGTTTCCAGTGACTAAAAAGGTATATGAAAGCGAGTCCTGCACAGACAGTGAAAGCGAGTTCCAGTCCAAGCCCCACGCCGCTCATAAAAACCCTGCCGGAGCGGCAAAAAGGGAACCCAAAGACGAGAAGAAAAGCACGAAGAAAGGAGGTGCGGCAGCCAGCAGAGCCAACAAGCAGGCCTCCATCACGGGCTTTTTGCAGAGGAAATGACCCTTCTCCACCCGCAGGCCTGCGGAAGCAACTTGGGAGCGAGCTGCCGGGCACGGTGCCCACTGCAAGTGCGCGCCCTGAACCGGGAACTGGGCCGGGCTCCACCGGTGGCGCTTTTGCGCAGACCTGCACGGGGTGCGGCCTCGGGGATCCGGCGCAGCACGACACACGGCTCTGCGGTGGCCTTGTGGGTACGAGGGATGATGGACTTGGATATGGAGTGCATTTCGAAGGCTAAGATTTTGAGGGGCTCTGTTTCAGAAAAGCCGTGCAAGTACATGGACTTCTCCCACCGGTTTAAATCTGTCGAATGCAGCTAAAATCCTGCCCACTCTCTCCCCAACCTTTCATTTTCACAGGGGTGGACTTGGAGAATTTGGCAGAGATTTTAAAGCTGCTGTTGGGAAGGGGGCTGGCGGCCTTCAGGCAGAAAGGGGTGCATACAGGAATGGGGTGAACTGAAAGAGTTTCACAAGCTTCCCCACGAAGCACGCCTGAAAGGCGCATCGGAGACTAGGCCACCCCATCCAGAAAAGTGCCTCCCTTTCCCAAGAACAGAAAGGATGGTCACAAACAGGGACGTCACTTCTGCAGTTGCCTTCTCTCTGGAAGGTGAAATGTTGAGGCTGCGGACCCCAGTGCGTAGCAAAATGTGCCCCCACCACCTGGCCGTGAGGCCGCATGCGAGAAGCGCTGAGGGTGGGGACCCCGCCCTTCCAGAACTGGTTTCACATCACTTTCCGTGTTCCTAAAACGCAAGCGGCTTGCAAGCTGCCGCCTGCTTTGTAGCCCTCGGGCTGGCTGGTGACCGCAGGGGGTCTCCACGTTCTTCCTGCAGCAAACTGTGTGGAATCCGAGAACTCCACCAGGGTCAGGAGAAGGATCGTGGCCTCGTGTGCTGGCCCGAGCTGCCCACGCTGGGAGGCACGTGTGAGCTGGGGGCCACGGACTCCTACCAAGAGCAGCTTTCCAGCGCTGGGCTGGACTGTCCCCTCAGTGCTTGCACGTGGCTTCTGCTCCACACCTTTCTGCCCCCGCCCACCTAGAAGAGCTGCTGGCCGTTGGCCAAGGCATCCGCCCTGGAGCGTCACGCGGCTGCCCACACGAGGTCGCGTGCGTCCCACCCTCAGGGTGGGGGGGGAGGCCAGGCTGGTTTTCCTCTTGGATCGGTCGCGGAGCAGGTTTTCCATCTCACGAGGCGCCACTTGGCCTTGAAGCGCATCAGTTGCCAGCGCTCCCGTTTGGTCGGGTGCCGTTCTGCAGAAACCACGTTGGGAAGGGTTCTGGCATCTCCACCTGTGTGCGCCTCAGCGCGTCTTTGCCCACCCTGCTCTCCTGTCGGGTGTTCTCAGCTGGTTGTGGCGGAAGCGTCAGAGGCGCCCACACTCTGCCCCGCCATCTGTGCCTGGTTCTGCTCCAGCTCTGGAGTCCACGTGTTTGGAGTTGTGCCTCAGTCGTAAACCAAGCCTCGCTTGGACGAGGTCTGCAGGTAGGCACCCCCCAAAATGGAGTGCCTCCGAAGCCTTTGGCGCCTTCTTAGAGCCACTTCAGGTACCTGTCCGTGGTTACACAGTCAAGGAGGACCAGAGAGAAGGGTTCAGTGTTTAAAGCTCATACTTGCAGAAATGCATTCTTGTTCTGAAATGTTAAACTGGCATTCTTGTTCTGAAATGTTAAACTGACATTCTTGTTCTGAAATGTTGAACACGCGCGCTCCTGCAGAGCAGTCCAGACCATCTGTGGAACGATCGGCATGCAAATGCGGTTCCAGAGGCAACCCGCTGCCTGCAGTGCTGGGTGCTGACCAGCTTGAGCCTGCTCAGAACAAGGTCATGTGCTTCGATGTGCTTTCTCATAATAGCTGCGCTAAATGCGCTCAGCCAGGAGCCTAGGAGTGGTGGCCAGGTTTTGTGGCATAACCACAAATATTTAATTTTTGAACCCAAGGTTTCCTTAGTCACAGGAAATACAGTTCGGCATAATTTTTTGTACAGAATTGAAGGCAGTGGCTCAATACAACTTTATGTCCTTGGAATAGTATTGGTCACCTTTTTTTAATCAGAAGTAAAGCTCTTCAAGTGGAAAGGCTGGGAAACATGAGTTTAGCTCCCAGCAAAGGTCTCTCTACACATTTTCCAGGAAAGTACCACGTAACTTTTTCCCTCTCTTTGTATGCTCAGAAATTATGTGGGGCGGGGGACGGGGAGGAATGTTCAATAAAGTTGTCTTCCGTTACATTTTCCTCCCTTTATCTTCCTGGATAGGTGCTTTGTGCTGGAATTTCATGGATCATAGAATAGTAGAGTTGGAAGGGACCATGAAGGCCATCAAGTCCAACCCCTGCTGTTGCAGGACACCACGTTAGATGGCTGTTAGTCGCTTTCTGAATGCCCCCAGTGTGGGAGAGCCCATGACTTCGGCCAGGCAGCTGGTCCCACTGTCATATTGCTCTGACAGCAAGGAAGCTTTTCCTGATGTCCAGCCTGAATCTGGGTTGTCGCAGCTTGACTTGATTATTCCAAGTCCTGCACTCTGGGATCAGCGAGGAGAGATCTTGACCCTCCTCTTTGTGACAGCCTCTGAGGTCCTTATGGAGGGATCTCATGTCCCCCTCAGTCTTCTCTTCTCAAGGCTGAACATGCCCAGTTCCCCCAATCTCCTCACAGGGCAGTGGTCCCAAACCCTGCAACTTTTTTGTTGCCCTCCTCTGGAAACTTCCTCATTTTCCTGCATCCTTAAATCTTGGTGCCCAGAACTGGACGCAGTATTCCAGGTGAGGAACTTGTGCTCCTATGTGTTTCATTGGCAGGCGAAAGTCCTTGCACTGAGCATCAACGATTTTCCATGCAACCAAATATTTCTGCAGTAACTCGTCTAAGGACCGTGTTCCCCAGGTTCAGGGGCTGACACACATCCTCTTAGACACAGCTGGAATTCTTCACCGGGTTTTGGAAGCAGCTGTGGAGCCACATGGCCTTTCCTTTGCCTGGTGTGGCCGGACGGGGCAGGAGAGTGGGCTGCACGCGTGGCCCACCCCCTTCACTGTCTTAGTGCGGGGACCAGACCTTCCAGGATGATGCTCCCAGCGGGATGCACGGAGCAGAAGTCGGCCGGTCGGTGGAAGAGCCTCCGGCTTTGCGGAATGGCCTCCCCGTGTCACCTAATGCAGCGCTTTTCGGGGTGCTTCAGTCGCGCGGCTGCTCTGGGGAAGGCACGTTGGGGGGGAGCGACCGAGCCCGAAGTGGGCACTGCTGGCCATCACCCCAACTGCCACGCCTTCCTCAGCTTGGTGCTCTCCACATCTCTCGGACGAGGCTTGCCGTTTTACCCGGCTGACAAGCCATTTGCAATGATGGTGGGAGTTGTAATCCAGCCCGTCTGGAGGGCGCCAGCTTGGGGAAGGCTGGGTGAAGCTGCATTCCGGGGTTCCGGGGCTGGACGCTGAGTGTGTGGGGCTGCAGTGAGATCAGAGGCGTTGGCTTCCACTGATGGACAAACCCCGACGGTTCCGTCTGCCCCAGGAAGAGTGGGATGAGGGTGAAGCCGCCCCAGCTGTGCACTGTAGTTGATTAGCTGGGCTTGTGCAGGTGAACAGAGCTATTGGACCAAAGGGGCTGGGCTGGGTTGCGCAGCGAGCGTGCCCGCCGCGGTCTGTTCAAGGCACCGTGGCCCAAGGCACGTGCGAGGCGCCCCAGTGTGTGCGCGGCCGGGTTCAGCGGCCCTTGCACACCCGCGGCTCATTGCCGGATGTGTGCGGCGGCCCATCGTGGCTTTTGCGGCTGCACTGATTGTGCAGACTGAGTGACTGGTTGCAAGGGGCTTCAAACACCTCTGGTCCCACAGGCGAGGGGTTGGGGGGGGGAAGCAGCAGCTTCTGAGGTTCAAGGGCCTCATGCTGGTCCTCGGTTTATGAGTTAGCCGGCCCCAGTGTGCCTGGGAACATGAACCTCAAGACCACTCGTTTCCAAGCTGCCCCATATCGGCAGACTCAAAAGTTTGTATGGACGGGTTTCAAACCGGTCTCTGGCTCTTTGCTCCTCTTTTTTGCAAAGAACTCAGGCTGGTTCTCGGAGCCAGTTCAGCAGCGGACTGGCCAGTGAGCGAATAATACCAGCTTGAGGTTTTGGACTGTGATTCCAGTGCCCCTGAGCATTGGCTATGCAGGCGATGGCTTTGGAAACGAGCCCAAAACCTCTGAGGACACCATGTTGGCAAAAGCTGCACCTCCTCTGTGAGCCCAGGAGGCTGCTAAAATGCGGAGGTTTTGGGTCGTGCAGGAATCTCACGAACTTGTGGGCACCAGCTTCTGGTTCGGGGGTGGGGGCTGCTCTTCACCTCGCAGTAGTTGAGGCAGAATGGGGCGACTGCCACGTCGGTGCTTCCTCGCGACGGGGTTATTTGTGCCCCCGTCTGTCACCACAAAATGCTGTGAAGCCCCCTATGCAAGGGGCACAGCTTCAGGGCCCCATTTGGACGGTGGTGAAGAAAAGAGGGACGGAAGGCAGCAAGGGAAGCTGGGCCGCCCAGAAACATTTAGGGGCTCGCACATAAAGCGGGGAAAGAGTGGGCTTTGACGAGGGTTTCAAAAGAAAACATGGGACTGTGGGAGGGCGTTCCAGGTACGCGGGCAGCAGAAGCAGGAAGGGCCCCCCTCCCGGGGCCCCCAGCAGCTGGAAAGGTCGCTGCCCGAGCGGAGGGCAGGGGCTGCGTCAGACCCCCAGCTCTGCCTCGCAGGAGGCAGCTTTGCAGGGACCTCCAGGAGGCCCTGGCAGGAAATGGGGGGGAGCGGGGTGTCGTCAGGAGTGTAGCTACCGGAAACTGACCGCCTTCGTCTTTCAGGTAGGCTCCTCCTCTCGCTCGCAGCAGGTGGCAGCCCAGTCAGAATGATTAATGTCTCTTTCCGGCTGTGATGCGATTCAGTGCCTTGAGGGAGAGTCGTGGCTTTGCCTAACCCATCCGTGCCGGACGCACCTTGCCGGCGAGAGGAGCAGGGGCAGCCTGGCCTCCTGTGGGGCTCTCGCTCCGCACACCCCCCCCCATCGATTCTGCTGAGCGTGCGTGGCCGAGTGGGGCAGTGGCTCTTGCCTCCCCCAGCTTGGGATTCTGGGCGTTGAACCTGACACTTCTAGCATTCGGAGCCTTGAACGTGGCCCTTGCAGTGGCTGGGGTTTCTCCGAAGAGGGTAGCCCTCCGTGGCCAGCATAAAGAGCATCAGGAAGCGTGTCCGTCTAGTCCAGTGCTCCACGCAGTGGTGGCCAGAGGGCCCCCCAGCAGGATGGTCTGCTGCCCAGCTCCTCAGCAGTGGGTGCACGCCGGCAGGCCGCCTCTGGTGGAGGAGGGGCGCACAGTGGCACGGATCGCTGCCTCCGCCACGAATCTGCCCAGTACCCCTTGAAAGCCATCCGGATTGGCGGCCATCATGGCTTCCCATGACAGCGAATCCCACAGTTCACCTCTGCTGTGCGAAGACGTGCTCTCTCTCGCTTGTCCTGAACCTTCCCAGGGAGGGCCGGGAATGTTAGGGAAGATGGAGAAAAATGCCTCCCTCTTTCCTTTCTCCGACACCTCCCTCCTATCTCCCCTTCCTGCCTGAGCTGGACCGGCCCAGTTGCGGCTGCCCTTCAGAGTCTCCTGATCGCTGTCGCCCTTCCCTGGACTTTTCCTAACCTTGGAGAAAGTGCAGAGGGCAGGGTGTGGGAGCCCCGTGCTCGGTCCTCGCGTTTCCGTGTCGTCGGAGGGCCTGGCGGCACTGGCTGGGAAGGGCCGAGTCCCGGGACAGACGCTGGGGGGCCGCAGGAGCCCAGCTGGGCAAGACCCTGTGTGGCGCCCAGGCGGGCCGCAGCAGCACGGAGCAGGAGCGGGGAGCAGCCCCCACGGAAGGACCTTGTCCCACCGCTCTCTTTGTCCTTGGGGGCCGGGTCTTCTTAGAGCATGGCCGAGAGCTGGGGCTGTCTTCATTTACAGGTTGTTCGTAAGCCTCCCCCGAGTCTGGGCAAAAAGCAGGATAACGATACTTCGATTTCATGGGTTGTTAGTTTGAAAGGCCTCGCGTGGGCCAAAGACAGGGCTTCCCAAGGGGTGCCTGGCGCCTTCGTTAAGTGGCCATATGAACATGGCCTGTGAACGGGGCCATTCCATCTGGAGCCCAGCCCTGGGGCATCTGGAGTGACGGGGTGCCTCTGAGCATGTGGGGTGTGCCTTCTCGGAGGCAAGGGGCCCAGCACAAGTAAAAAGCGCCGTGCCCAGTCGCACTGCAGGCGCTGGCGCTGGTCCACCAGGGAGGAAGTTGGCTCTCTCGTTAGCGGAAAGGTCAGGCTGTTTGGCTGCTCAGGGGTCTGGGAACTGCTCCAAATTAACCTTGGTGTATGATATGAATAGGCAGTGGGGGGGCAGCCCCCGCCCCAAGAGGGACGGAATAATTGTGGGGGGGCAGCCGCTGAACCCGGGCGAGGAGCGACAGTGGCCCAGCAGGGGGCAGGGCTGACGTACGTGGGCCGCGGCTGCGTGGGGCCCGGTGGGTCGCGGCTGAGGAGCTCCGCCAGGCTAGGGTGGGCTCCCCTGTTGGAAACCAGGTGAGCTTGGCCGGGTCCAGCGCTGCGAGGGCCAAGGAGGCCGGCAGAAGGTCAGAAGTGACGTCTGTCTGCAGAGGTCGACTGACCAGGAGAGAGGCCTTCCCTTGCAGGGGAGGAGGAGGAGGAGGAGGCCAAGATGTGAAGAAGTGACCTGCAAAGCCTGAGGGGTGGGAGAAGAGTCAGGCGGGACCCTCGTGAGGCAGATTTGCCTTGCTGGCCCAGCGCCAAGGACGCCCCTCGATGGTCATGGGTCAAGAGGTTGCAGGTCTCCTGCCTGGGTCCCGGGAACGCCTGGGTTTTGCTGTGCGCATTGCGTGTCGCCCCAGTAGCTTGTTGCTGTGAGGAGAGAGGCGTGTGCCCTTCCCCAGCCTGGTGCTGTGCAGAACCTTCCCGACGGCAGCTTTCCCAGTCCCCCAGCGATTCCCAGCCCGGCTCCCAGCGGAATGGGGCTGCCTTGCACGGGGCTACAGCAGTGCCGAAGGAAGACCCTTTCATTTCCCTGCTCACGCTACACCTTCGGCGGTTTTATAGACGTGCTGAGAATGACGCCTGGAGTTCCCCCTCAGATTGTTTTTTTGCTCAGCTACCACGCTCCAGCTGTTCAGTCTGCCCATGGCATGACTGCTGGAGGCCGCCGTGCCGAGCATGGAAAGCAGAGCTGCA